ATAAGGTATAAGGTATAAGGTATAAGGTATAAGGTATAAGGTATAAGGTATAAGGTATAAGGTATAAGGTATAAGGTATAAGGTATAAGGTATAAGGTATAAGGTATAAGGTATAAGGTATAAGGTATAAGGTATAAGGTATAAGGTATAAGGTATAAGGTATAAGGTATAAGGTATAAGGTATATGGTATAAGGTATAAGGTATAAGGTATAAGGTATAAGGTATAAGGTATAAGGTATAAGGTATAAGGTATAAGGTATAAGGTATATGTAGATACATATATTATATAATATATATTATATAATATAAAAATTCAAAAAACAAAAAAATGGTTTCGAATTGAAAGCAAAAACTTTCACTGTGTAGCTGAAGCTGTAACTGAGATCTGACCCCCGCGACTTTTAGTTGTTGTTGTTGTTGTTGTTGTAACCGATTAAGTATCGCTCCATTTAACTGTCATTTGCAGGAGCAGCCCCGTCGGACAGGTAGCTAGCTAAGAGCTAACTGCAGCTAAGACGATTACGGCGACTTCTGCGTCAGAGACGAAAGTCAAAGCCAACGTGCACAACTCTCACGGGGCTGTCTGCTCTGTGCTTGATTTGGGGGGATGTGATGTGTTTGTGTGCACGTGTGTCTGCAGGTGTGTGTCTAGGCTCTGCGGAGGCGTCAGTTCGGGAAACGACCAGTTGCAAAAGGAACAACTCGCTCCGGTAGCTCCATTTACATAAGCATTCTAGCTGCCAGACCAGAAGACCTTCAACGGAGCACCATAAAAATTATAGCCCCTTGCCTCACGTGGCATGTGGCATGTGGCATGTGGCATAAGGCATGGGGCGCCCGGCCTGGCTGGATGCCTTTTCAAGGAAAAATGTCGCACAATCACTTATATAAATCACAAATATAGAATTCGTCAAAGCATGCCCAAAACATAACATTTATTACATTCATATTCGAGCGAAAACAGAATGAGCAAAAATACATTTTTAAATCAGAAACCAATGTGAGAGCAAAAGTGATTGACTGTCTCCCACCCACATCTACAATTGGAATTGGAATTGGTTTCCAGCTATTTCTAGTAATTCTAGCAAAAAAGAGAAGAACAAAAATGGCATCATTAAGTCGTAGATATATAAATAGAGTTCTCTCTAGATAACTGTGCGAACGACATAAACAAATAAAGTCTTCAAGTAGACGTCGACGTGATAAATAAATAAACGCGGATCCCGATTCGAATGCCAGGCGAGATTGTTTGAATGCAGTGTGAATATGGCAGACTAGCAGATGCCCTGTAATTATGCTCGATTAGCTTTAAATGATTCAACTCAGCTTATTCAACTGTTTATGTAGATTTCCCTTTTTGTGCTTATCTTTTAGGAGCCTGACAAGACTTTTTATATATACATATATACATACATATAACCATTTTAATGGCCTGAATACATTGAAAATGGGTAAAAAGTATATATATTCCTGGTCAGCATCAATAGCCGAGTCGATCTAGCTATATCCTTCTGTCTGTCCGCATGTCGATCCCAGATCTTATAAGAGCTACAGACTGGAACTTGTCAAACAAGTTTTGTTTCCGATAATCGATAACTCGCCCCGTATTCAAGCAATCGATAAAAATCGATATCGAAATCCTGTTTTTTGAGCAAATCTCTTTGGTGTTAAGAGCTAGAGTCTCCAAATCTGATATGAAACTTCTAGAATAGTATATACAAATGAATTATCTCTCATTTTACAGCTACCCCTCCCCCCCTCCCCCCCCCCCTTCTTAAGACAGAGTTGCATTTGGTATCGGTAGAAGAAGGTTTAGGGTATCCCTTAGTCGGACTCTTCCGAGATTTTCACTCATTCTTGTATTCATAAAACTTAATAATATACAATCCGTTCCAGCTATTTGAGCTAGTGTTCCGATCAAACAGTATTCGACACTTCGCATGCTACCCTCTCTACGATTTTTATAGGGTATTCTGCCATAAAATCGAATGTAATGCCAACTGCTGAATCGAAGATAAATAATCATTTTATTAAATTATTGCAGCCGTCGGACGTGCTGCCTACTTAATGCAATAAACATTTATTTGAATTTTCTAAATCGAAACAGTTTTGTTTATTTGCTCGGACACAAATGTCGATTAAGGCTGACAGATTGTTGCCAATTTATTATGTGTTTATTTTGATAAATTACTTGTGTTAATTTCTTGTGTTTTTTTTTTTTTCATTTTAACTGCAGTTAGGGGAAGCGAAAGAGATAGATAGAAAGAGCGAATGAGGGAGAGAAAGAGTTGGCAACATATTTCCATCAATAGTCGGAATTATATATTTCCAACTCTTTTCCGGTCTCTCTCTCTCTCTCTCTCTCTCTCTCTCTCTCTCTCTCTCTCTCTCTCTCTTTGTCTTCCGCTCTCGCTTTTGCTCTCTCAATCGCTCTCTTTCTCTCTCTCTCATCCCTTCGCTTTCTTTAACTGCACTCAACTCTCTGGCGAGCATTTCAATTGCATGTTCTTCTTTTTGCAGCATTCTTAAACGTTTTAATGCCTCGCCATGGAACTGAAATACATATGTTATTTAAGAAAAGCAGCGAAGTGAATTGAAGAACATGGATTCTTGCTTTTCTGCTCTCTTTTTTCGATTATTTGAAACGTGTGTGTTTCGTCTATGCTCGCACATCTCCTCCGAGGTCCCTTGGCCCGCCTTTAAGACTGTGCTCTGTTGTGCTGTACTGCTCATAATTTACTTGATTAGAAATTAGAATTTCAAACCCATTTAGATAATGCAATAAAAATTAATAAAATTGCTTAAGCTTCGTAGGCATTCGGGCAGGAAATCAATTTAGTACTTATGAAAAAGTTGTTAACAGTTTTCTTTCAGCCTCAGAGCCGCCTTTCGCAATGCCCCGAGCTATTCTAAAGGTAACTGCCAAGTAATTCTGTACAAAGTTGCAAATATTTTCGAGCACTTGCAAAAGTTTGATGTAATTGAACAAATCGAAAGCCACTTTACGTCCCAATCATCATCATCGCCATCTCCATCATCATCGTCATCGTCATCGTCAACAGAAGTGAGCCACAAGATGCCAAAGCCATTGGTCAATCAAGAGTCAGCTTATGCCTTGGTCCAACTCTTTGCCAAATCCCCGGAAAAATACTTTGCCTGAACAGCGAGGGGAGAGGGGAGGAAGAAGGCGTTGAAGTGCCATACAATAACTGAGCAGCTGCAGCGGCGGCGGCGGCGGCGGCACGAGCAAAGTTTCTTCACACTTTTCACAGATTATCTTTATATATGTACTTCCTCTCTCCATTCCCTTAACCCCCCTTTCCCCTCGTTTGCATCTCTTTTGTTGTGCGTTTTGTTGTTGTTCCTGCTTTGTGCTTTTATACGCTGTTTACAGCGGCAGAGTGGAGTAAATTGGTTTTACGCGCTCTAAAGAAACCATACATCAAACTGATTGACTGATTGATGATCAGCGCCAAGTGCAAACCTTAAGAGCTACGAAGCTGAAACTTGTACTAAATTTATCTAATGACTATCTAAGTGCACGCTCAAGCGGGGTTTTTGGTAAATGTCACGCGCAGAAGTGAAATATTCGTGGAAAACGCTTTGATGTATTTATTTTAAGTATTTCATTTGTGATGATCTTTGTGAAACTTCATTTGAGACGTGTTTCATACCTTCAAGGTCAAGAATTGTGGGTCAAGGGTTGAAAAAGTTGAAATTCCGCACTGATGCTCATTTTCAAAGCTCTACATTGTCAAAGAATAAATATGAGATTAAATAATTTTAGAAAAATAACCCACTGCAACATAATAGACGGAAAATGTTTGCACTTTTTTTGAACATTTTGTTATCCTAGGCCCTGGAAATGAGGGATAATGCCAGCACGCATCATATAGTAAAACTAAAAACATTTCAAGATGTGCGCTATATATGATTTTCGCCCAAAAATGGCATCTACCAAATACGTTAAAATATACGCAACGATTGGGAACTAAATTGTTTTGTTTCTTTTGACCAAATCGATTCGGCTGTTTTTCTGGCCAGTTAGTTTAAGGTTCGACTTTTTTTAAAAAATATATAGGAATTCCGGTTACGAAATGGCTTAAGGCCGATTTGCAGCCTTGATTTTTACCAAGATGTTTGGGCTACGGAAAACATTTCAACTGCACGATATACGCTTAATATGGACAAATGGATAATAGATAAATGAAATGGTTGGGACCTAAATAATCTACGCTTTGGGGCTGGATCTGCTCAAAGGTTTCAACTGCTGGGCAACTGATTTGTTTTAAGGTTCGGTTTATAATAGAAAATATATAGGAATTCCAGCCTTGATTTTAGCCAATTTAAAAATTTTTTTTTTATGAAGATAGTCAGGTTGAGGAAGGCCTTGGGCTCGGCTTCTTTACGGACAACATGGTTAAACTAAATTCGCGGCTTAAGCTCGGTTTGCAGCCTTGGCAACAGGACAGAGCATCACGCAGTCGGGTTTTCTAGTTTTTATGTTATTTTGGTCTTGCTGCAGTTCGCCCAGCGCTGCTTCTGTGTCTTTCGCCATTCGCCTTTCGCCTGCCTCCTTTTGCTGCTGCTTTCGCCTTTGTTTGGGGCTGCGTGCAGTTCTTTCGTGCCTGAGCACAAGCAGTGGGTAGTCAGGAGAGAGGAGAGAGGAGAGGGGAGAGAGATATGTGTGTGTGTGTGTGTCTGTGTGTAGTGGGCATGGTCCATGGGCTCTGCTGCATATGTGTATGTTTATACTTATGTTGCGTTCTTTATGTGCAAATATATTTTCTGGGAAATTTTCATATTAATAGAATTTCCCTTAATTTGTTTGCTTGCTGCTGCTGCTGCACAATTTTCACATAAACGCGTGGTTGTTGGAACGGTGAGTGGGGGGAATCTTCCGCAACATATTTTAATTTCTTTAAGCAGTTGAGCCCGTGCAACAGCAGCAGCTGTTGCTGTCATACAATAAATAAAGCATACGCCGTGTTGGACTTACCTTGGGTAAACAAGCAAAGCCGCAGGAGGCAGTGCAGCCAATGGAGTTGCGTGCCGGTAGCGCCAAGGGATTTGTAACGGTATTTGGGCCTGCTGCTCGACGCCATTGATAAGGATTTACATGTTGTGTTGTGCAAAGTTTGAAGTAAACACCCAACACACACTCTAAACACAAACACAAACACAAACACACGTAAACAAAAATGTTAAAAAAAAACTAGAGTTCACTCAATTAACAAAAAAAAGTGTCACTTGTCGCATGAATTTCTTAACTGCGCTTTACAATTAGCTGGGGCAACAATAACTTGTGTCTACTTCTGCATATGGCCAACAGATTGAAATGCGCGCCAAAAACTGTTAACTTTGCCAATAGCCGGGAGCCCTGCGCTGCGACTGGTTCGATGCGTGCGCTGCTGTTGAACGCCTGCATGCAACTGGCTGTGCTGCTAGCAATAGGGCGCGTAAGTGGCTTGGCGCACGAGCCCCAAAAACAATACAAAACCAAAACACGCAGACCAACGGCGACAAATGGAAAAAATACACACAAAATGGCGAAGTTTAAGGCATGTATATGGTAACACTGGCGCTGTTAAATGCGTTTATGCGGCACTGTAAGGTGCAATGTGTGAAATTATTATGCAAAAGCCCTTAACAGTGGGAGCTTGGGCAATTTATTTTCAAATTTGTGTTAATATAAAACAGAGATGACCGTAAAAGCAGCGTACTAAAAGTGTGAATGTTCGGTACGCTATTCGCAAAGCTAAATTAATATCCTAATTTACTAATTTGATCATATTGATAAACCGAAAGCTTAGCGGCAATACATATGTTATGTGCAAGCGATCTAACGGTTACTAAAACTATTTAAATTTGCTTCTTTGTGAACGCAAAATCGCGTCAAAGCGCACGCTATGCGCGAACATGCCTGTTTTCACTGCGATAATAAATAATACTGCAATTACAAAGCTGTAAACACAAAAAGCCATATCGTATAAACATATCTGCTCCAATTGGCAGCCAGTGGGCCGCTGCGGGTGGCAACGCCGTCGGCTTAACAGTAACAGCGACAATACACAACAGTTGTGCCACTGCTGTGACGCAGTTTAACATACACTTTTTGTTTACCATCGTCCAGCGCCTGTCGTCTGCTCCATTTAGCCTTCAGCTCCGGAGGTGCGCACAAGCCCAACCGCTCGCTCGGCTGCTCCCAATGCACACGCTGGCCAACAACAATTGCCTGACATGCCTGCAGAAACTGGACGCTGACGGACAGGTGCCGGCAGCGCATCCCATCGACGCGGAGCTGCAGCGTCTGCTGGTGCAGCAATTGGAATGGCAGCCAACCGAATTGTCCACCGAATGGCTGCCTCAGCAGCTGTGCACGGCCTGCCACCAGCAGCTGTTGAACTGCGAGCTGTTCCAGCGACAGGCGAACGCTTGCCGCACCGAGCTACTGTCCATGCTGCTGCAGCGGACGCGACAGGAAGTGGCCGAGAAAACGGCAAGCGTATTCGAGATTGTGTACGAGGAGCCGGCGCCCGATGAACAGCAGCTGCAGCCGGAGCAGCTGCTCGAAGCGGAGTGCCAGGATAACGCAACGACGCCGCCGCCGCCGGATCCAATTGATGAGCCGGCTATGGAGGAGGAGGTGCAGGTGCAGTCACAGCAGCAGGCCACTCTGGAGCCAGGCACACGACGTCGCAGCAAGGGCGTGAAGAACAGCTTCAAGTGCATCCAGTGCGGGCACAGCTTTGCGCACAGCCTCACGCTCCAGGCGCACGTGCGCAAGGTGCACGAGGGCAGCAAGCGACCGTTCCAGTGCGATCGCTGCGACAAGGCCTACAGCTTCATGGGCGGACTCTACACGCACATCAAGGAGATACACAGCCCCCAGGAGCGTTCGTACCGCTGTGACCAGCCCGGCTGCGAGCGCGTCTACATCAGCTGCATTGCCATGCAGAAGCACAAGCGGCTGAAGCACAGCACGGCCGACGCGCCCGCCCGCAAGTACGTGTGCGAGCAGTGCGGCGCCACGTTCAATCAGACAGCGAATCTCAAGTATCACCGGCGCACCAAGCATCCCACCGCGGACGAGGCGGCGGCCAATGCGCGCGCCAGCGAGCAGCACTTTTGTGATATATGCCAGAAGCACTTTCACTCCCGCTACACTCTCAAGTATCACACCATGCAGCAGCATCAGGGGGCCGGCGATCCGGACGCAGCGGCTGCCGGCGTCACAATGCACGAGTGCCAGGTGTGCGGCCGTCGTTTGGCCAAGCGCTTCATGCTCGTCCAGCACATGCTCATGCACAGCGCCGAGAAGCTGCCGTGCGAGCATTGCGGCCGTCTCTTTGCCCGCAAATTCGAGCTGGAGGCGCACATCCGAGCGGTGCATCTAAAGCTGAAGCCCTTCGGCTGCAAGTATTGCGAGGAGTCGTTCGCCTCGCGCAAAACCCAGCGCCATCACGAGTATATACACACGGGCGAGAAGCCGTATGTGTGTACGGTGTGTGGCCAGGCGTTCCGCCAGCAGACGTGCCTCAAGAACCATGGCCGGGTGCACGAGAAGAACAAGTGAGGCGCGACAGGGCGGGAGTATTTACATAGTTTTTAGTTATATTATATTTGCAAATATATGACACTTAAATCTAACTGTTGGCTTTTGTGTCACCTGTCCATGTGGTTGTCGGTGGCTCCTGCTGATGTCGCTCGCGTTCTATGTACACGGGCAAGTCCTCGAGCGGTTTGTAGTACAGATGCACCGCCTGGGAGCCGGCCATCATGGCCAGCATGGCGCTGCCCAGAAACTTCATGTACTGGCCCCATGAAACGCCCGCGGGCATGCCTAAGCTGTGGCTGTTGCTGCGGGCTGCGGCTGCGCGCGGTGGTGTTGCTGATCCTCCACGTAGTTCTTGGCCTGGCGCCGCTTGAATGTGCGATCTGTGAATTGTACAGAAACAAGTATTAGATCTTTTCAAGGTTTGCACAGCTGCTGGCACCCACAGAAGTTCGTCTCGCCCACGGTCCACTTGATCATGGAGAACTCCAGCGCCGCGCCCAGCACAAAGAAAAGCGGCAGGAATCTGTAGATGCCAAAGCGCCGCTTGCCGGGCCAACTGTCGAGCAGACGTCGCACGGAGCTGCTGTACAGACTCATCCGGCGATTATATAAGCAGGCCGCCTAACGGCTGCCCAGGCAAACTGCCTCGCTTAACACTTGTGTAGTGCGTTAAAGGCAACTAATTTTGGGAGCGCTGCTGATTGCAGCTTAGCTCTTAAACTGCAATTTTAATTTATAAATTAAACCAAAATAAATAATTTCAAAATGCAAGCTGTGTGCTTCAACTGTCAAAATGTTTCGTTAAAACAGCTGTTTGACCAAGTGGCAACATCTGCCACTGGGCAGGGTATTTACATGCTGTTAGTACACAGTGTATTTACATGCTGCTAGTACTTACAAGTTTATGCCCTTCTTTGTGTGGCTTATTGTATTTTAGTAAAGGAGTCTTTATGCTTATTTCAATTACTACATTTAATATTATTTTATCCGCGTATTGTAGCTGCCGCTTAAACAGCTGTTCAACGCAGTGGCAACATCACTGACAGCCGTTACATGCTGTTAGCTCTTGCGTTTAAACACTCTGCTGTTCACAGCAGAGGACAAGCACATTCTGCTAAACTGCCATATTTTTTTATTTTTATTTTTAATGGTATTACTTCTTTCCTACACATTTTGTGCAGCTGATGCATTTTATAATCTTTTTCCATGCATCTTTTCCCGTTCATGCTCTATATGCTGTGCTGCAAAAATGTGGCTGGCAATGCACTGGATTTTGTACATATGTATGTCGCGCACTCTGCTGTCTTGGCACCTTACGTGCCCTGTTAAGTTTAACATTCGCTGTTAGCCTTACGTTACCTTCTACGTTTGTTTAGTATTTCCATTTATTCAACACGTAAACAATTTCATATTTGCAAAAGCGTTTGTTTTAAACATATGCATACATAGTAAACAAAACACAAAATATGATCCACAGCCTGTTCATAGTCAACAGCAGCGGGTAAGCATGGCATAAAAAATGTGGCGTAGAAAGTGCCAGGCCATATGCCAAATTATCGCAGTATATACAATAATTATGTTATTTTATTTTCTTGCAGCGAAGTCTTTCTGGAGAAGCACTGGCGATCGGTTGTCTCGCGCTCCGTTTGCGAATACTTTCTCGATGCACAGCGTGCCGCACCCTACGTAAGTTGCCTGCCACGTTAGCATGCATCATGCTAAGCCTTGTTGTTCTTGCAGGATGTGCCGCCTGTTATTGCCACGCCCCATTATTATCTGATCACCGTGCAGCGGGACAGCGTCTCACTGGTGGCCGCCTGCAAGCAGGAGGTGCCGCCGCTGTTCGTCATCGAATTTCTGCATCGCGTTGTGGACACGTTTCAGGACTATTTTAGCGACTGCTCCGAGTCTGTGATAAAGGATAACTATGTGGTCGTCTATGAGCTGCTCGACGAGATGCTCGACAACGGCTTCCCCCTGTCCACCGAGAGCAACATACTGAAGGAGCTGATCAAGCCGCCAAACATATTGCGCACCATTGCCAACACCGTCACCGGCAAGAGCAAGTGTGTCTCGGTTATCTAAGCATTTCTTTGGAGGATTACATAATTCATGTCCTTCTGCTTGCAGCGTTAGCACCATTCTGCCCGTGGGCCAGCTGTCGGCCATACCCTGGCGTCGCAGCGGCGTCCGCTACACCAACAACGAAGCCTACTTCGATGTCATCGAGGAGGTCGACGCCATCATTGACAAATCCGGCTCCACGGTGTTTGCTGAAATACAGGGACACGTGAGTTGACAAACTAAATATATATATATATAAATATATTGAAACTAACCTGATCTAATCCACATTAGATCGACTGCTGCATCAAGCTGTCCGGCATGCCCGACTTGTCGCTGTCCTTTATGAATCCGCGTCTCTTCGACGACGTCTCGTTTCATCCGTGCGTGCGCTTCAAGCGCTGGGAGGCAGAACGTCTGCTCTCCTTTATACCGCCCGATGGCAATTTTCGGCTCATGTCTTATCACATTAGCTCGCAGTCGGTGGTGGCCATACCCATCTATATACGGCACAATTTTTCAATTAAGACCGGCGAACAGGGTCGCCTCGATTTGACCATTGGGCCACGGAACACGCTCGGCCGCACCGTCGACAAGGTCAAGTTGGAGCTAACAATGCCCAAGTGTGTGCTGAACTGCGTGCTAACGCCCAATCAAGGCAAATACACATTCGATTCGGTGAGCAAAACGCTCTCCTGGGATGTCGGACGCATCGATGTCTCCAAGCTGCCCAACATACGCGGCTCGGTAAGATGAAGCCAGAGTTCATCGAATTGCTGTGAGATTAATGTGAGATTTTATTTTAGGTCTCCATCATGCCCGGCAGCCCAATACTTGATGCCAATCCGTCAATCAATGTGCAATTCCAAATCTCACAGCTGGCCGTCTCCGGGCTGAAGGTGAATCGCCTGGACATGTACGGCGAGAAGTACAAGCCCTTTAAGGGCGTCAAATATCTAACCAAAGCGGGCAAATTCCAGGTGCGCATGTAGCTGCATGCCCCCCACAACACGCCACGCACGGCCCTCTACTCAGCTTTAATTAAGAATAACAAAACAACAAAAACCTAAAGAACTTTAGTGTAATGTTCAACATTTGGTTATATTTGTACTGCTATTTCCATTATTATAGCTATCTACTATTTTATTTTATAAACCATAAAAACTCGTGTGTCTAAAAGCTACAAACTTGTATCCATCCTAAATGTATATATATTCAACTATATGTCTAAAATGTATAAGCTGGCCCTTTTTTGTTATTTTATACACTGTCCATAAAAGAGCTGAGCAGAGTGTTTAGCCTATATATGCTTGTTCAGTGGCAACAGCCGAGTCGATTTGGTCATGTCCGTCTGTCTGTCTCTGTTCAAACTAATCTCTCAGTCTTATAAATGTATATTTGTCGCAAACGGGCGGATCGAACTACTATATAGTATAGCTGCCACAGAAATAATTGGCATAAATGAAGTTCTCATGTGAAGAACTTATTTCTTTCTGAAGATATCAAGATTGTTAATAACAAATATGGCTGGCATAAAAATTAAATATAACCTTTTTTAGTCTTTACACACAAGTTGTTTTCTTTAAAATTGGCTTGTCTGCAGACACATTAAATGAAATACAAGAAATGGCAGAGAGATGAAAGCAAGCAATGAATCGCTTAGCAAATATTTTAATATATATGTATGTAAAAAATAATTTAATAAATATTTAATTAGCTGGCTCAAGCCAAAATCAGCAATAATGAATATATATTTTATAAAACATGACAATTATTCAAATACAAGAAATTGCCAAGAGAATAGAACTCAAAATGGATAGGTGAATGAATGTAATAAAAAATATGAATGAAAATTATGTGTTAAATTTATTTTATTTAGAATCACGTATAATCACGTGTATAATGCTACGTATAAAAATTTTAATTAAGGGCAAGGAACACATAATATAAATATTATTTTCAATAAAAAAAAAAAAAATAATAATAAAAAATTAATCAATAAAGCAAGTATTTTAATTTTATGAAATTATTAAAAAAAATATTTTATTAAATTATTAAAAAAATATTTTATTAAATTCAAAAATATTAAAATTATTTTCAATAATAAAAAATAAAAGATATGCTTATAAAAAATGTTTCTTCTTTTCGGGTAGACGGGGTTTTTTTTCAATAATCTTTTTATTATTATTATTATTTGTTCAGCAAATTGATAATACATTATCAGCACCTCGTATACCCTGTTCGTGGGCATTTTCTTGGATAGAGACATAAACGTGGGCTATACCCTAGCATTAATAATCCAATCTCAACATTAGCAAGGATGCTCAAATAAGCGCCATAAAAAACAGCTCAAGCAACTATATAAAGACGCTGCGGAAATTTGGTGTGTACAGGGTATCTGGCCGTCGGGCACAATTGCTTATCGGCATTTGCCATGATAAATGTCAAAGCGATTGCAACTGAAAAAATGTTTTAATGCAAATTTCAAGTGTTGTCTTTGTGTCTGAGTCTTCTGTGTGTTTGGTGTGTGTGTGTGTTGTGTGTGTGTATGTTGTGCGTCGCCATATTTAAAACTGGCTGCTGAGAATCTTGTTCGCCACTTGACGGGCAAACAAGTTGCAAGTCCGCTGCGGCTGCGGCTGCTCGGACTGTGCCTGGCAACAAACCTTAAAGCCGAAGCCGAAGCCGAAGCCAATAAATTTAAATGAAAATGCAAAACTTGATTTTTGATACCCTGTACCCAATTGAAAATGGTTGAGAAATAGCGGGCATATTGCAGATGTGCATATGTATGCAACAAGTCAAAAAACACAGTTGCAAAGCCATATATTAAATCGCATAATGTATGTCGTATATCGGATATAGTATATCGTATATGGTATATAGTATGTAAATTGTGTATCGTATATCCGAAAAAGTACATCGTATATGGCATATTGTATATATATATTGCGAGGTCATAAATATATATATCGAATATCGGATATCCCAATTTCTATATCGTTTATAGTATATCGTATATAGTATATCGGATATCGGATAAAGTATACATATTGCGAAGTCATATAGTACTTTTGGGATATCCTAAGTCTTTTATCGTATATAGTTTATCGTATATCGGATATAGTATATCGTATATGGTATATTGTATATGTATTGTGGGATCATATAGCATATATCATATATCTGATATCCTAATTCCTATATCGTAAATCCAATATCGTAAATCGTATATCGGATATAGTATATCGCATATGGCTTATTGTATGTATATTCCGGGGTCATATAATGAATATCTTTTATAGTATATTGTTTGAACATTATCATCTATCTGTCGGCATGTTCTTCCCATCGAATGTAGATTCTCGTATATCGTACACAGTACGAAATGGTACTATTTATTTTCAATAACATATAGGAATACATTCTAAGATTAAATGGATAAAACGTTTTGTGTGTGTTTTATCCTAGGTACGCATGGAAGACGGTTGAACTTATTTCACAGACGCTCGAAGCTGATTACAGGGTATCTCCTGGTCGGACACTCGCGCCTAGTGCACTCTTGTCTCGCGTCTTCTTTTTCCTTTTGCCAACCAGGCAATTCGCAGCGCATACACATAATGTATATATAGCTATGCATATAGATTTCGCTGTACACATATTTTTATATACTGATACACTTGTATATACCCTATATACCCTTGCATTTTTGTTGGCTGCGGCAACCGGTTCTGGTCCGGCTCTTGGCTTCGGGTCTAGCTTGGGCCGCGCTGGCGTGCAACGGTAGCCAACAAGCGCCACCAGCGCGTAGGATACGCCTCTGAGCAAACCCAAAGCTAGACATGTTATACACACCCAGCACACACACACACAAACACACACACACACACACACACACTCACACCACCCAACACAGCGCGAACACTTTGCTTAACTTGGCCAAAATTGCTGGCGTGGGAAACGTTTTGGCTCTGGTCCAAGCAGGCGCAACAAGCTGCATGTGGCATGCCACATGCTGCGGCTGGGCTCTGGCCAGCCTGCCCCATGCGCCCCAGCTCCACAGCAGCTCATTAGCCGCCCGCCCAATTGGGCCAAGTTTGTTGCATAAGTCTTTCGTTTAGTTCACATGAAATTTTGCACATTCTTTTTTGTTTTCCTCTTAAAAAATTCTACAAAAATGTTAATTGCACTTGCCAACAATTCAGTTTTGCTCTGGTAATTGATATCGGTTGATGCCATTTGACGCAGTTATTAATATTTATAAAGATTCCGTTCCATACAGCTCCCAAGCCCCAACGACCCGCAGCAATTATCCCAAAGTGTTGAGATAATTGTGTGTGAAAATAAAATACAGCAGAGAGAAGACAAATAACTGAAGAAAAAAAGTGTTGAATAGTCATTACTCAAATGACAGAGGGTGGGAGCGAGGGGGGAGGAGTGGGAGAGGGAGGGGAGTGAGAGATAGAGATAGAGATAGAAAGGGAGTGGGAGAGAAAAGAGGGAGGAGAGCGAGAGGTCGAGAGAAAAGAGAGAGGAGAGAGAGGAGAGATAGACTGAGAGCAGAGAAATGTGAGCGAGAAGAGAGAGAGTGAGAGAGGGGGGGGGGGGGGGCTGGAGGGGTACTCGACTTATTTACACATAACAATTGCAGAATTTAATGGATAAACTGGTTTGAGCTTCAAAACTCGCCGTAGACATTTGCAGCTTCAAGTTTTAATCAACTTTAAACTAAAAAAAAAAAAAACTCTTCTTAAACTTGCGACATTCTCAAGAAGAACAGTTTAAGTTTTAAGTTAAAAGTTTAAGCAGAGTAGTTGCTTGGCAATTGGACACAGAACTTTTTATGATTTAGAGCCTTTTAACTAAAGATCCGATTTAAACAAGTATTTAAACAGGTTTTATATATACAAACTCTGTTGACTCACGCCGAAAAATACACACACACACACACACATCCTGCGGCTATGCTGCTTCTTTCCTAGGCCCCACACTATCTATGGGGAGAGCATTATTGTGTAATTACTTAAATAAGGCATGCTTAAGTGTGTGCATACCAAGGCCCAAGACTGTAACTATAAAACTAAGTTTATACTGGCATACAAAAATTATAATAAAATAAACAACAAGTAAGAAGTTCTAGTCGGGAGGTCCCGACTAGGGGATACCCTGAACCCTCTTCTTCCAACAAGCGATAGGCATAAAATGAAAGATACTTGATATATATGTATATATACTATTCTAGAAGCTACATGTCAAGTTTGGCGACTCTAGCTCTTATTATTTACCAAAATTTTTATCGATAACTTGGGAACGGGGCAATATCGGAAACAAACTCGATCTGCGCGGGGACTAGGAGGACCTACAGCTAAAATTTCAAATTTCTGTAGCTCTTATAGGTTCTGAGATCCTTGCGTTCATCAATACGGACAGACGGACGAACAGGCAGACGGACATGGCTAAATCGACTCGGCTATTGATGCTGATCAAGAATATATATATACTTTATGGGGTCAAAGATGCTTCCCTCTGCCTGTTGCATACATTTGCACAATACATAATACCCTTTTTACCCATTTTTAATGGGTTCAGGGTATAAAAAAATATGCTATTTAAAATTCCCTTTCCTATGCTATCTAAGCCAAATTAATATTATCTTCCTTTTATAAAGGCGCCCATCTAAGAATCCGAGTTTGAAAAGTCTATCAGTTAGATTTCTGGACTTAAAACAAAGACTAAATTACATTTTTATAGCTATTAAAGAAGATTCTATCATTGGGGAAATAATTGAAAAATATAAGAAAATTGTTCTTAAAAAGAAACTAGAAAATCAAAACGTGTGAGCACAGACTTTTCGTAGGCAGCGTTTCGCTGACAGGCAGATCAGATTGCATATGCACATTTTTTTTTTTTGGCTAGTTAGCTTGTTAACGCCTGTCAGGCCCCACAACCCAAACCCCTGACTCCGACCCAGCCCCAGCCCCAGTCCCCGACCCAGCCCCAGTCCCAGTCCAAGACCCCGCCCCGCCCATTGAAATCGTTCCAGTTTTGCAATTGTGCTGAACAAACTGAAAACTAAACACTCGGCCGTGTGCTAAGTGCTTCTCACTAAATGCAAGTGCATGCATTGGACATGCCACGCCCCATTGCCTATTGACACCCCACCCCCAGCCCCAGCCCCAGCCCCTTG